GGTTGGATTGAAACCTTACTATAAGCAACAGTAGGATTTTCCGAGGTGGGAATCGGCCCATGGTCAGAGATTCTCACCAGAACCTTTTCCCAAGCCTACTCAACACCTGCCTCGATGAAAACAGGTCAGTTTTGCCTGTGGAGATGGCATCACTCTCATGCCTTAAAAAACTGAAAAAGGTTTTTCGTAGAGTCTTCCCTTGTCGTTGGCATCAGCGAGTGCCTACCTCTTCTGCAAGATGCTAAAATGTGCCTATCCTGAACCCAGCGCTCCTAGAGTTTCTGGACGAAACTACTGGTCACCACCTACGTTCCGCATGCGAAGTGTTGGTCAAATATCTGCCAAGACCGTGTGAAGCAAAAAAATTATAAAACCGGCAACATTTTTCGATTATCGCGTTTTTATTAAGTAATATTCACAGATAGATTTGTTTTCCGAAATATTAGTTCCAAAGTGACATCGAAATATTGCTGCACCAGTGATTTTGTCCACCCTCTAGTTGCCAGTTGGGTCTATTACGTCCAAAGGTCTTTTAGGATGATAAAAGTTAACCTCTAACACTCGTCTCAGGATGAAAGCATTGATTTATACATTGTAACGGGAGATTAATATTATAAGAAGGGACCGTGTGCATGGCACATTCATAAAGAACCTGTTAATGCTGGACTACCCATTTTTCATTCTACACAATTTCAGGTACTGTTATATTCATGGGATACTCTGGAACTAGTCGCCCAGTTAGTTTTTTTCTTCATTCTTTTTGCTCAGTATTTGGAATAATTTTTTCAAGGATTTCTACACTCTTTATCGGGGCAAGGTTGCAATTATCGAGGACAAGGTGGTGGAAGACGGTTTTACAAGTGCGTATGCAGACGTATCAATAACATCTGGACTTCGTGTATTTCTGCTTTTACAAGTTCGTTACTCTTTATGCCTAATTCTGTAACCAATACAAATTGAGCTGCTCCATTCAGGAAATCCAAGGTGCTCACATAGTTTCATCATTTGCATGCTCTCGAGACGGCAAAAACCTTATATACGTAACGAACAGCTCCACGAGTTTTCGCACTGAGCAATGGGAAACCGCTGATGTAGGAGTGTATTTTTACAAATGGCCCACATGTTTTTTTATTGTTTCTCATGATTTTAGTTTGCGAGGCTTAATGATGAACGCGAAAATGCCTGTTTGGACAAAATCGAGTTGGATTTTCACGTATGTCTTTCAAAACATTGAAGTGAATTGTTATGGATTCATATTTCAATGATTACAACACATAGTAGTTTTTTTCATAATATGTTTGAGATCTCATTATCAAATTTACAGAAGTAGCTTTTTTGTTTCCAGGTCTGTGATGTGAACGGTGAGCGAGCAGGTACTTTCGAGAGTATTATAAGGTCACGCTTCCCGAATATTGACAAATTTGTGCGGAACGGTAACGCCATCTGGATAGAGGACGTGAGCCGCATTATTCGTTCTAATTTGAAAAAAAAACAGCTTTAAAATTAAGCCAACGTTTCTTGCGACTTCATTCTTTTTGATATGTTTTCGAATGAAGCTCGCGCATGGGCTTTTCTGAAATTCAGTAGGAAGTATTTGCTTTTCACGGCAGCCGACAGCGAATGGCTTGTCGATGATTTATTTTGGAAATTTTTACGTACTACTGTGTTTTCTGTTCACTTTCGTTCTAGAAATCGCTGCTGTAACAATATGTACGTGCCTTTTATAATATCAATCTAATGTTTTATGAGGTACATGTCATGTTAGAGCAAGTCGGAAACTGGAAGATGAACGCAGTGAACCTCTAACGAGGTTCATGTGAAATGCAGCAAAATAGCTGCTCCTTTTATACCTGTACCCATTCCCCTTTTCGCTCGCAGTTTGAGAAAATGCTACTGTAATTTTCAATGGGGACCAGTGAGTGTCAGTGGACTTGAAGATGCGCAGCACTGGAATGGTGCATCAACTTGTGTGATGGCTTATGAATGGCTGACGGTGTTAATCTCATCTTCTTTTATTAGAGCCCATACGTTTTTCAACGTTCATCCTGTGCCTCTTTCCCTCTATGGTTGTTGGGGCAACTACAAGAATATCGACTAACTTTTGTGCTACAACGCACTGTTTTTGGAGCATTAGCACGTTCTCCCCTTTAGCATTTTTTTTTGAAAACAGGGGTTAATTTCGATCGAGGTTTTTCTGGGCAAGGGAATAGGTGAAAATTCGTCTCGCAGGTATTCTTGTCCTCATCAGCACCACTTGTAGTATAGGTAAGGAGTGGAGTCTGTTTAAAGGAGGATTCCACGATAATATCGAGGTCGAAGGAAGGGGAACCCACCCAGTGGAAAGACAGGCGGAACCTCTGAGGTCAAAAGGCATGCCTTCTGCGATCTAGCGTGACCGTTCCCGCGCTGCGGCTTCCCCTCCTCCTCTCGCTGTTTGAGCATGTAGCCGTGAACTAGAGAGAGCGCCAGCGTTGAAGAGGGCAGCACCAATAAGAGTCGCATCAATGCGGAATTCAAGGGCAATAAAAGGATTCTATGTGTCCAATGAAGGAGCTCAGGGCCGTTTCTCATGGTTTTTTCTTTATGGCACCACTGATCACCTTTGCCTTGAAGGCGGAGTTTACGATTAGGAGGCACCCCATTAGAAATATGATGGAGGTGTCCAAACCATGAGAAAGGACCCAACGGGTGTGGGCACCGCCTCGAGGCTTTTCTCAATTGTTAGTCTCTTCTTTTGTTATGGTAAAATACGCTAAACGGCCAATTACCCAGATGATCAATATGCTCTTGAGTGTTCTTATTAGTTTTTGTTTTCAACTTTTTTGGTAACCAATTGTCACAACAAGGTTCATCTTTTAGCGTAGTAGCCCATAATTACTACTTAGGGGCGAAATTTGCATTCAATTTTTCATATTGTTACTCACTGACAACGTGTATTTGTGTGTGGGTCCGTGAGCAGAAAAGTGGAAGGGGTGCGGGGAGGGGGATATATTTCATAAATGCTACATGAAGGTGACACTTAAAACATTTTTTCAAGATCTTTCATTGAAAGCTCAGTGTATTGAGAAAGTGGAGTTTTCAGCTATCAAAAGAAGTGTCTATCGCAAAAAGTGACAAGATATTTCACGACTACCTTATTTTCAACGAGAATCGTGTGATTAATAGTGGTTAGTTCCCGGGTTTTCAAGTTGTTCATATGTTTTTGTTTCGCCAACTATTCGTACCTTACAGGTAGTTCCACGAAGATGGTCGTAGAAAATGTTTGCCGAGTGTTGGGAGTGCCTTGTACTATAGATGGTGGCTTCTACAGAATAGGTGAGCCGCTGCAGTGCCTGGATGACTTCGACGCAGAACGTGATTGTATACTGATCTCGGAAGAAGGCGTTGAGATTGAATTTGTGCGGTGATTATTTCAATTTTATCTCCTCAAAAGCGTTTGAATTGCTCGACCTAAATTAGCTTCTTTTTAGCGGCAGAATTTCTTAACACATTGGAGACCACTCATGTTTTACGTTTTGCGGCCGCGTGGACTTCAGTGAAATTTTTAGGAATCTTATTGAGCAAATTGAAAAGAAAAACCTACTGTATGATGCAGAAGAAATCTTATCGAATGAAATGGAAAAGAAAATAAAAGAAAACTCAATATTGTTTCCAAGATATGGGCTGTAAGGTCCTACGCGCTCGACGAACTGCAGCCCACATGTGGGCTGCATGGGCTCCAAGGTGTTGATCTTCCTATTGCTGCAAGCGCAACACGGACTGTTCAAGATTGTTTTAGTTTATGTAGTGCTTGAACAGCGCCATTGTTGTGAAGTTGATCTCAGCACATTGTTCAGAGCCAAAACAAATTGTTGAAAGTTGCCAAGTTAAAAAGTAAATCTTGTTGTTAAGTTCGTCATAGATAAACAGTAAAGCGAAACACTTGCAGAATAATCTTGTACGCCTCCTTTTCATCATTGTAATTTCATATTCTCCAGTTTACTTCGATATTCCAGGGATATACTGGAGATGCAATCGTCCTACTTTGGTGTGGCCTTCACTTATCACAAGGATGATATGCCAAGACTGAAGTTATCTGCTGCAGAAAATGTAATTCGTTACACTCTACTGAGTATCATCAACCCGAATTATCTTCGCCGCCTTCAGATACATGAGGTATGTGTGAGTGGAATTTGGCAAATATGATCAATTGTGATGTTTTCGAATGCGCGTAGCTAGGGCTCCATGTTCTTTCTTTGTAGTGCAAAAAGTTCGTGTATGAGTCATAAAATTTGATATGTAACGTTTGCTGCATTCTTTTGCTTTCGACATGATATTTGGCCCACAATTAGTTGATTCACAAGTTTAGTTTCTCGAATTGTTGCCGTTTCTCGATCAATATCTTCTACATGCAGTGATCGCCGATGCCTTACGTGTTATATTTGAACGATGTGAGTTCTGCTTAGAGTCTTTTTCTAAGCAGTCTTTAGAACTGCATTTTATTTTTGCGCGACGTAACTCAAAGTCCTGCCTTTTCAGTGAACGAGTTCAATATGACCTTTGTTTTTGATGTGTTCGAAGCAGTTCCGCAATTACGGCAGCTGATCGCGAGATACTTCCACAATGATTTACACTTACTTACTATGTGGAGAAACTCTGCAGCGGCACCTATTGAGCTGATTCGAGAGTGAGTTATGCAGCCATTTGTAGCAGAACATTTTTGATCACTAATCGTTCTAGCGTGTTTGCGAACTCGGATTCGGAAGTGGATGATGATTTCCTAAATATTACATCTAAGCATTCGAGCATACAACCAGTAAGTATTCTTTGCTTTGCACTAAATTTCAGGATGACTCTCATGAAAAAAAAAAAACGGTGTGCAGCTCTAAGCACATTACTAACGATGATATACTTAATTTCATATGCATTCGCATTCGTTGTCTCGTAAGCCACCATCTCATATTTTGGAAGATTATCGTGAAGCGCAATGGTGCTTGTTTCGAACAGAGGACGTTGTTGAGGTATTCCTCGGTGCGCAGGCTCGTGATTCATTAGTGGAGTCTGCTTTGCTTGTAAGTATGACCTTTTTGCTTCTCTCTCTGGCTGCATTCTTATCTTCTTTTGATCGTTAAGACTCGACCGTTTCGTTTCTTATAGGAGTATCTCAACAAGGAATTTCTAAATGATCACTCTGAGGAGCTTTCATCAGCAGATGTAGGAATTTTATCTCTTTTCTTTCATTTCGCGATTTCCTATCTGTACCTTCTTTCTCGTTCTCGTTGCTTACAGCTGACACAGTGTTTGTTCTTTTGAACTCGGTGCTTTAGACCCTATACTTTTCGATTGCTTGCACATTGCAAAGAAATAAGAAGAAATTAACGAACTGCATGCATCCTTTTATAGAAATCATATGCCGGAGTCTATGATGAACGCATCTCGTTCTCCCGCTTACCGCGAGAGCGTGAGAAAATCTCAAGTTGTCAAGGCGAGACCGAAAGAAGAGCTCCCGACAATCTGCTTCTGAAGTAGCAATATCACCTCCCACTTTGGAAGTAAGGATGAGATTGAATTAGCTTACCTTATCTACTGCGTTTTGTTAGATGGTGGGCAGCATGTGGGACATACCCTCCCTTCAAAAAGCCAGAAATTGTGCGGTGCAGACCATACACCACAAGTGACGACGGCCTCAAGTAAATCTGGTTCATAGTGATAGCTGATTTTGGTAAATGATAGTTGTAATTAGTGACAACTGATAGAATACAACTGCAACAGGCTAATCATTTCATTGGCAGAAAACATTTACATTTTGTGGAGGCCGTCGTCACTTGTGGTGTATGGTCTGCACCCGACACTTTCTCGCTTTTTGAAGGGAGTTAGCTGCTCTGGTTCATCTCTGAAATGCTAAAATTTTTCTTTCTCTTGTTTCCTTTTTTAATCGTCAGCTTGAATGGAAGAAAGTTTCTGTAAGTGAAATCACTCAAAAGGGAAAAGGTGATGCGATGTGATGCCTGTTTCATCACTCGGGCAAACCATTATGATCAAGAAACACGAGAATCTGATCGGATTTGCTACGATCAGAGTAGAGAAGTTGCCCTAGTGTCGCTTTTGCGCACGAAGTTGACTTTTTGCAGGAAAACTCTGGCATTTGCGAAATTCCCTCATCCAAGGAAATTGGCGAACAGGATCATGAACTGCAAACGAAAATTTTCGAGGAGACTGAGGAAAGCTTGACGAACGTAAGTTTGCCATAGTTTTTCATCTGTTTGTCAGAGCAGTGGGAATTGCTCCGCAATAAGGTCTTGCTTTCTATTTTGAGTTGGCTTTTTTGATATTCTCTGTAATATTGGGTCAGTATTCTGCACAACTCGATGTGAGAATGAGGAGAGTGTTTCAATTGAAGCTCATAGAATTTTGAAGTGTTTTGACCAATACTTCAAAATTATACCAATTTCTCGGAGTTGTACGGACTTGATATAATCTATGACTTAACAATAAACTCGACCATCCATAACAAAGTACAGGGCGTTCTATGTACAGCAGTGGTAATATGAATGCATTCTTTTCACTTTTTTTGGGGATATTTTCGTCGTTCTTCTTCGATATACATATTAGATGATGTTGCACCTTTTGCAACATAAGGTACAATGGGTTTTCAAAAGTGATGATGCATCGGCATGGAATTCTGGCACATTGCATTTGCAGAGTATTCAACATGTCGAAAAACTTTATGGACATGGTTGAACTCTTTGTTGACCTTGGAAATAATCAGATTGCCAAAAATTTAGTTTGAAAATCACATTCACCTCCAGGGGCCGCTAGCGTTTCAGCTGTTACATAAACAAATGCTTTACAATCAGACCTTCTTAGTGCTAGTCTGACTAAAAAAGCTAGCTTCCACCTCGCTTGTGGGAGGGACAGGTTACGATCAGCTTAGGCTTGGTCCTGAAACTCAAGAGGTTTGCGACCGCTTTGAAGCTGATCGTATGGGGTTTAGATTAGAGAAAATCTTTGTTTTTTTTCTTTTTCCAAACTTCGATGCCAGAAAACTAGAGTCAACTAATCGTATTCATGTCGACCCACTGAAAACCAGAAGGTCAAACTCTCAGTGGTGGAGCCAAAAAGTGAGGAAGAAGCGGTTAGCGCCACTGATGCGCTTTTAGTCCGATCATCCCATGTCAGTTTCGCTTAACGACGTGTTTTCATGACAAACTGCAACTTTTATTCAGCAGCAGTAATGCAGCACTCACGCTTATCATTCAGTTTCTAGGATGGGCTCAGTTGGCACTGCTAGCTGCAAAAACAACACTGATCTTCTCGCTCGAAAGAGAACGCCATAACGTTACGGAAACTCACCCTTTCTCTTCTATGGAACGGAGTTTGACTGTGTCACACACAAGCACAATTTCAATGTCTACCTCGCGGCGCCTCCGTCCTTGGGCTGTGGCAAGGTCATTGGCGCCAAGCTAAGACCGGTGTTATCGCGCCTCAGACATTCATAGCTGAATGTATTCTTTATATGCATCTTAGTAAGGCAATATCTCAAATTATGTCTCCGATCTGCTAAATCGGTTCCTTCAAAGCGGGTTAATTAACGACTTTACCTTGCTGCTTTGCATGGCAGGGCTATTCCGAGGGGCTAAGTTGTAATACGGTGCAAGCACGTTAGTAGGCGCAGTAAGATGATGTATAGGTAACTATGAAGCCGCAACGGTTGGCCAAAATTATCTGAGCTCAATCATTAAAAGTTCCTTTAGATTCGCTTGAGTACGAATTTTTATTCAGATTGCTACATATTTAAACACTATACAATAGTTTATATTAGTTCTTTTGTGCATGCTATCGCCCACAAGCGATAGCTTTTGCTGGCGAAACAAGTGGATATGCTAAAATGAAGTAATATCTCATGGATGGGTCAGGGGGTCAGTTTCCTCCGCAGGCAAATTTGCAGTCAAATTTGGGATTTCCTTGTAATTTTGAAGTAGTGTTTGTCGTAAGTCCTTATACTCCGCCCCTAATACCGTACTACCTACATCTACAACTTCAAGCTTCTAAATGGAAATACTGCCAGGTAAATCCTGTGATATCCTACCAGGCACTACTTTTCTTTTCATGTCTCAAAATGTAATTTCATCCCAAGACCAGCTTCCGTTACACGTTGATGGACAAATGACCGCTCCACCTTGAAAGGCGTGCTCGCAGTATTACAGCTGTGCGGCTTTGCAAACGAATGCGAATGTATTGTGCAAAGGCGGCAGTAAAGAAAAAGGAAGGAATCAATCAAAAACGCTTAGCTTAGGTGAAAGCTCACTCCTTGGGCTGTGGAAAAGCCAGCCTCTCTGTATGATCGGCTGTGCTAAGGGAATGAGAGACTAAGCGCGGAGAGGAGAGTATGTGATGAGAGAGCGCTACAGATGAGAGATCGCCAGACAACAGCCTGATAAGAGAAAAAGTCTGCAGCTTGGGCAGCTTACTTTGCAAGGCCCAAGCGCTCTTATCGGTCGGTTTCCGTGCACGAGAACGCCACATTTGTGATTGTCCTCTAGGGTCTATACTACAGACCGAAGAGAAGCGTTCACACGACCTCTGCCTGGGTTGTGCCTTTAAATAATAGAATTAAAATTTCACATGCTCTATGCTATACTCCTGTAAAGTATTTTTGACTTCGTTAACCCAGAATCTTACCTACTGAAAAGCGCCTGGCATATGAGTCTTGGTGTTGTGAGCAGCCATGGACAAATGGTTGTCAAGATAAACTAATGTTAACAAAAGCCTTATTAGAGAGAGTGTGCGGGACAGAAAGCAAAGGAGTAAGCCTGAACGGATTGTCTGCTCGAGCTCTTGCTTTTGAGTCAGAACCATATCGTTGCGCTCCTTAGCTTCAT